TTAACATGTAATATTAATCCTAAGAAATCATCCGAAACGCAATGATTCCCAACCCCAATCATTCAGTTTCTCATTGTTTCTTTTAGGCTTAATATTACATTTTCAAACTGGTATATCTTGTATTTATCAATATGGTATATAGACGTTTCTTTTCTTATGGCCAATAGTATGCCACAATTATTATTTTCATATTTTGTTTTATATATCTATATATCTATATATATTTATACAACAAAATCAATGAAAAATATGAAAATAATAATTGTACTTACAATTTAAAAAAATATCATAATATTATATTAACTTATATGTCAAATGTTTTGTTCTCCACATAGTTGCATTTGAAATAAGAGTGTAACTCTGATGCAAACATCACATCAGATATACTCAAGAGAGTCAGAGAGCAGAGTAGAGTGGATTAGCATCACGTGACCTCTGACCTGTGTGTATACGTTTCGTCCATATGTAGCCTATAGCATAGAGTGCAGGCTAAAGGGGAAAGTGCTATTGTCAGGGCTTTCCATTGACAGTAAAATGCTTACAGGCGCTGCGGGGAGAGCCTTCTGGGCTATGCGATGACCCTGCGGCTTTGGCACGGGCAAACTCTGATGACGGCGTGTTTCTATTGTACGCCGAGCGCCTCTGTACTCCCCTTGCCAGGGTATAAAAGTTAGAGCACTGGTCAGAGGGGGCCAGCACGAGCCAGCCATCCCAGCACAGCTGTACTCAAGCAGGTAAGAGCCCAGGTCAAGTGGATACAGCTACAGCTGGGAGTCCCTTCACTGTTATCTCATGGATGTAGCGTAGGGAATTGCCCTGGATTCACTTATTTTTCTGTTTTGGTTTTTGTGGGATTGAAAGCAGCCATTTTAAATGCAGAGCCCAAACCCTACCATCCCTAACATTCAAGCCCTATCCCACAACACCAGCCCTGATGGATATTCTGGAGTATATGCACCAATTTCAAGCCTCATGACCTTTCCAACCCTTTGCTTTTTCTCCCACAGACGTTCTTGAACCCCTTCACCATGTCTCAGACCACCAAGTCCGCCTCCAACCAGGGCATTGATGCCAAGGACAAGGGAGCTCCCGCCCCTGCCGCCACCAGCAAGGCCCCCAAGACCGGAGACCCCGGACTCATGGGGAACTACAAAGTAAGTATCTGCGTTCAGCTGGTTTGAAGGACTGGATTTGGGCAGACAAACCACCTACTGACATTTAAGTAATGTTGGGATTACCATGAAACCTACACTCTTAAAAATGGTTCCATGAAGACCCTTTAATGTCATTCCAAAAAATTATTCTTTAAATTGTTAAAATGTTCTTTTAAGAACTGTTCTTTGCGGATTCTAAAGGATTCTTCAGCAGTCTTAAAAATAAAAGTTCTTTTTTTGCATATAAAGTTCCATTCAGAACCTTTAGCCTCCATGGAAACTTTATAGTGCAAAAAGGTTCTTAAGATTATTTAAATGTTCTTCACACTAAGAAAAATGGTTCTTTTAAGATGGTTCCCAAAAGGTTCACTGCAAAAAGATGATTAGAGACTATCCATGAAGTCAATAGTAAAATTAAAAAAGTAAGTGGGATACGGATACCTGCTCATGGTCTACATCTTCTCCTCTTGCAGATCTTCCTGTACGACCAGGAGAACTTCCAGGGCAAGATGATGGAGGTCCAGAAGGAGTGCATGAACGTTTGTGAACAAGGAATGGACAGAGTCCGCAGTATCATTGTCGAGTGTGGCCCGTAAGTCACTGACCAATGGATTGTGTCTAAAGTGGATGAGAAAAGCATAAATCAGAGTTATTTTAGGATCATTGAGATACCAAGTTTATTTAGTTGGTACCATCCTTTCCCCTCCAAACTCATGCTGTCATCCCTTTTCCCCCCCTCATCCACTGTCTGGTACACATCTGTCCATGATGTGCATGTCTTCAGCTTTGTTGCCTTCGAGCAGACTAACTTCCGTGGCGAGATGTTCATCCTGGAGAAGGGCGAGTATCCTCGCTGGGACACCTGGTCAAACAGCTACCGCAGTGATTGTCTCATGTCCATCAGACCCATCCGCATGGTAGGACACTTTGCAACTGCTCCTTTACACTAACTGATTTCAAATGCATGCTTCTAATAGGTCATGATCCCTACAGGACCCCATGGAGCACAAGATCTGCTTGTTTGAGCTGTCCGACTTCAAGGGCAACAAGATGGAGATCCAGGAGGATGACGTGCCAACCCTGTGGGCGCATGGCTTCTGCGACAGAGTGGGCAGCGTGAGGGTCCCCGGTGGAGCGTGAGTAACACATCAAAACTAACCAAACAGCAATAATATCCCATCTTTCACACATTCTGAATGACTCTCGTCTTCTTTTTAAAGTTGGGTGGGATACCAGTACCCCGGCTACAGAGGATACCAGTATCTGTTTGAGTGCGGAGACTACAGACACTACAACGAGTTTTGCGCCTTCCAGCCTCAGATTCAGTCCATGCGCCGTGTGAGGGACATGCAGTTCCACCAGCGCGGCTGCTTCAATCTGACCGCCGCTAAACAGTGAACTCACCTCGCTGCGCTCTTGCAGCATAGCAACTAGCCTTTTCACGGCACTTTTTATCCCCGTACCTCCCCCTTTTCTCGGACTTCTCCCACCCCAGAACAGATTCATTCAAATGGTCCAGGACATCTAACTGACTTTTTATGATGCCAATAATAAACATGTTTTGGAAAAACAAGAAAAGCTGACTTGTCTTCACTGCCACTTCACTTGTCTAATCAGTAACATTAAAGAACGCAATACAAATACACAATTCATTAGGCTAAAAAATCTATTTCTTAGGGAAAATGTTAATATTCAAAGTCTCTTTTATTGCTATTTTGTGTAAAAACAAACAAACTAACAAACAAAATTTCATGGAAAAAATATTCCATCATTCAAATATAATATAGGGTTAATAATATGTTCTAAATGTATATATATATAAATAATAAATCAAATATACGTTTATTTAAAACATTGTGATATAACCTTTTAGAATTATTTTATTTTATTTAGACATTTCAAATAAAATAAATTAACATTATTATGTAAATGTAAATATTATAAATGAATGTAAACTCAAATCATGATAAGTTGAAGTGCCATGTAAATACTGCAATGTGCACAAATTTAGTCTAATGTCTTTAGTATTGCAATATATGCCGTTTTTTTTATTGAAATGTGTCTTGCTTTACATTTCACTGCTTTATCATAATAAAGAGTGAAACTTGTTTTACTTACTTCTAATAAATATAAATGAATAAAATGATCATGTAAAATTTAAATGAAATTTAAATTTAAATAAATAATTAAATAATTTGGTCAAATGTGTGATTATTATGCATTCGTGTTGAAATATTTTACTAGGATTTCACTGCTTTGAAAACTTAATTTACTTACACATTTTGAATGCATATACATTAATAAAATAATATCAAATAAACATTTATTTTAAACTTAAAATAATAACATCGGCGTAACGTAATGATCACATGATACGACCCATAGACATAATAAATACATAGATGCCCTATTGTCCGCTTTGGAACGTTGCTGCGATACGTCAACGGGTCCGCCATTTTGCTGAGGGCAAGACTGCACTGTAATCAAATGTAAGTAAACGGGGGAGCAGCGTTTTTTCTGGATAGAAACAAACTGTTTTTACATTTATCAACCGATTTCAGTGGTGTGTATGTGGTGTACAAAAAGTTCCATCTCTAGATATTTAAAATCTCGATAGTTAGACTTGTAAAATATTTTTTTTAATAAAGAATGGTCAATTAAGCTCAGGCTTGTCATGTATCTGGCTTTTTATTCTTGGATAAGAATGGTGAAGACCCCCATACTGAGATATAATTTAAGTTTTCTTATTGTGGAAAAAGCATTTTCTGTGATTGACCAGATTTTAGCAATAACAAAGATAACTGATGGATCCTTTATAATAATACGTTATGGTACAACTAGTGCAATGCAAATAGTAAATATAACATAAAGTGAGAAGTAATTGTAAATAGTTTAGTCAATAAAATAAACAAATAGTATACAGCAAATAAAATAGTAATGATTAGTATAATTATATAATATCATAAGTACAATAATACAATCATAAAAATATTGATAATAGCAGTTTATTAATAATACTATAATAATAGCAATATAATAAGAAATATCAATTACAGAATATACACAATAAAAAATAAGTTAAATAGTGACTTTAATATTTAACTCTTTTTGTTAAATTTCAGGTTTTATTGATCAGTAATAGTAGCCATTATAACAGAAGTAGCTTCAGTCAAACATACAGCAGGATACAATGTTAAAATAGCCTAAATATAAAGTTATGAAACTTCACTTTGCCCTCAGCCAAAACGATTTGCCAGGGAACCATTTATAGATTAATGAGACCAAAGATCGCCCGTTAGATATACACAAGACGAATTATATCTCATGTTTAACCACTAGACTACAGACATCCGAGTCAGCGGCAACACTTCAGAAGCACTGACCGAGGTACGGCTGTTCCAGGCGGGGTAGACGAGCGCTGAGCGCATCTTACAACTCCGAAAACGTCAGATCAAATTTTTAAATAGGTGCTATCTTTATAAACAAACCACATATTTGAGCTTTAAACAACTACATTGTCGACTGAAAAACTATTTAAACTACATTTCGTGACACAATAACAGTAGTATTTTTAAATGTATCCTCTGAACGTTACTATTACTAATTAAATCATGACCAAATACAACCAAAAACAAACGTTCAGTCTTGCTTGTGAAAGGTAATTCCTCGAAAGCTGTTTTCAATTGTGTGGCGATGTGTACAGCCCCAAACAGCGCACAAAACATGCATTTTTCTCAATTCCCGGTATGAGAGGTATGGGAAAGTTGCCATCCCCAACATGGCGGCGCCGTTGACGTACGCTGCAGCGGCCAATAGGGCGTCTATGTATTTATTATTTCTATGATACGACCGCTCACAAACAGCTTCCTGTTTGCTGTTACGAAAGCAGACCTATTAGAGCCAAGATGGCGGCGCTTTTCAAAGCACGGAGAGGTCAGTAGAGTTACTGATTATTACTGCATGTTTACACCAGTGTCATCACAGCTCATGAGCGACTTTGTCTGCATGTAATATACCGCTGGATGCATTTGCAGTTGCTCATTAAAGGGAGCAGTGCAGAATGATTCTAAGCACATCAAAGTGCACAAACATCTGACTGTCTGAATCTCTTTTGGAAACTGAATAAATATTAACATAGAATGATTCCTGTATCCTGTATATGACGCTGTTTCGGCTAGGACTTAATTTAAGACAACAAGTCATTGAATAGAATAAGATCATGTGCTTACCTTATTAAAATTCACTTGAAATGGCTTCTCCATGATAAGGCATGAACATGGTTATATTACATAAAATGTTAGTTTACTGTGTTCTTGTTATTTTGGATGGTTATTGTCATTTATGGATTTAATCTTTACCCTGACAGCTGACTGTTTCATTTAAATTTCATAACAAATGTCACTCAGGGTCTAGGCTTAAAAAAAATCACATATTGTGCACTTCGATTTGTTATATGAAATGATTTAACCACGTACACAAGCACAACACTACAGTTTAAAGCTCTTTTAAACATTATAGACAGTGCGCAGGCTCTCCGTGATCTTTCACCTACTTTTATTCTACAGGTTATGCGCATGCGCGTAAACTTTTATTTTATTCGCATATACAGTGGCGTGCAGTGGTGTTCTGACATGAGGCGCAAAGTCCTCACAGTTTTTTTTATTTTTATAAATCAAATATAAATACATGTACCAGTTACACTTAATGTTGTTGCATTTTCCTGGTTAAATATTACCTTACATTACATAAAAAATACAATTCTATTTTGGAGGTTTACATAACATTTTTTATTAATGTTCTATTTATTAAAACCAAGTATAATTCTCATCAAGTTAGTGTTTTAAGCAGTTTTACACTTAATCCAAAATAATAACTAAAGGCTGTAACAATTTAAACAATATATTTTATTTGTGAACTGATGTTCAGCTGTTCTTTTTAATAGTCAAATTATTTTCGGATCATAAGTCATCAAGCTTGGTAAACACTGGTCACAGACACATGTATCTTTAATTTCACCAAGCTAATGTCACATTTTGTAATATTTGCCTTGTTTTGGATAATTTTTCCATCCATTTTTTTTGAGGCACTGACTCCCTTGCCTCATATATATAAATATATATATACCTATAGTAGTGGCTAATGAAGCAGAAATCACAAAACTTTACAGAAAATATCTTATTTCTGCATGGCAAAATAAGGTGGATGCAAGATAATCCATGTAGCATTAATTGCTCTCTTAAGATGTTTTATCATTGTTCATTTAAAAATGATACATGCTGATATCATCCCCCTTTCTTTATCCATCAGCTCTAGGCATGGCGGTAGGCCATGGTGTTCGCTGTTTGACCCAGTTGGCAGAGCTGCCAGAGCTGCACCAGATGATGAGGCAGACGTGTAGGGACTACGCCCAAAAGGAACTTACGCCCATCGCTGCCCAGCTGGACAAAGATCACATGTTCCCAGCCAAGCAGGTAAAAGAAACCTCCGCCATGGAGCTCCACAGTCTACAATAGTCATTGCCTCTTGATTTGAGCATATGAGGATGATTGTGGTTTTGACCGGTGTAGGTTCAAGAACTGGGAGCGATGGGTGTCATGGCTGTAGAGGTGCCAGAGAGTCTGGGTGGAGCTGGGATGGATTATCTCGCGTACTGTCTTGCTGTGGAGGAGCTCAGCAGAGGATGTGCCTCGACCGGAGTAATCGTCAGTGTGAATAATGTGAGTCGCCTTTTACTACGTCCAAAACCAGACACATTCTTCCCTACTATAAAGTATCTGAAAAACCGAGTAGCTTGTTCGAATACATGGCTAAAAGTACCTGGATGACCTACTACTTCCGCCAAGATTCTTAAGTGTGCATTCGATGGACACTTTATTATCCCATGAGGCCACGGGAGAGGATTTATGAATGGCAGTGAAGTGACGCAACTGATACCGTAGGTCACATGATAATGACAACATGGTGGATGTAGTACGTCCGAATTTCACTTATACTATACACATTCATACTACATAGAACACACTTTTTTAATGCTCAAGACGTAAGTTTCACACCAATTGTAGCATCTATCTATCACTTCTACTTATAATTACTTCAAGGGGTCCTATGAACTCTTTTCACTGACTGCAAATCTAATAAAGTTTTTAATATTTTCATTCAAAAAAACATTTATAATACTTTACTTTTATATTACCGTGGCAGTAAAAGACAAAAAAGGAATTACCGCTGCTGTGAGGGTGTTTCTAATACAACAGCTGAGGGAGTGGCAGCAAATTTGACACCTTTCTCTCTTCTGACTGCTGTAATCAGTGTCTATATTTTTTCCCTCTTTTGGAAAGTCGGTGAAACGCTATCGTGGATTTTTTTTCTGTTTCTTTTTCTTTTAGAGCAAATACAAAAATTATATTTGCTCTCGCCTACCATTCACCGCTATAGAAGTTTACCCAACTATGACGACTTATGCTTCTGATAACCCCAGAAATGCTTTTTTAAATGTTCTACTCTCTTTAGTGTGTAATGTTGCTGTTTGAGCATGTAAAAGCTCTGCAAAGTTACAAAGCCTCCAGCGGGAGTTATTCTCTATATCAGCGCCACTGTTTCTGAACTCCCTGAAACGCCTCCATTGTAGTCTTTGATTTTTCTTCCGGTAACGAACACGTCACAATATTCCTCATTTAAATAATTCCCGCCCAAGGCAAACGCAAAAATAGGGGATGAGGCATAGAGACAGGAACCAGTGATGTGCGGGTAAATGTATAAACAACCCGCACCCGACCGACGTTTTCAACTAACCCGCCCGCTAGAAGTAGAAGAAGTAGGCTAATTGTTTATTAAAGGGGTCATATAATGGTACATGCACTTTTACAAGTTAATTTGTACTGAAATGTGTGTTGGCAGTGCCTGTACACAACCATCATAAAATTATAAAAATCCATCCAGTGTTTTTGTTTTAATCTCCTTATATGTTTTCCCCTGTCTCAAATTGAGCCGTTCGATTTTGTGACGTCACACGCTCGGAAGCCCCTCCCACGATTGTTGATTGACAGCATCGTTTCAACACAGACCCGCCCTCGCTCGTGAGCAAGCTGTCAATCATAGTCTGCGCGGACCGGCGCGGTCATTGTTGATATGCTGGAGCACTGTCTATGAGCAGAATGGCGTCTAAGCGATTGTGGTGTTCTGTTCTTGGGTGTAATAACGAACACAGCAGTCATTTTAATGTTCCCAAATCCGAACCGCTGAAGACGCAGTGGCGGAGTTTGTTTTCGAAGGGAATATTCCCCACGAGTAACGTCAATGCTTTCATGTTTGCGCGAATCATTTCTCACCAGACTGCTTTATAAACGAGGGTCAGTATAAACCTGGTTTTGCTAAGAAGCTGCTCATAAAAAAAAAAGAATAGGTACCAGCTAATCGTGTTCCTGCTGAACCTCTAGAACAACTGAAGTGAGTGTAACGTTTTATTAAACTTTATATTAATATTTATATTAATCTTTGCAAATCGCTAGCTGCACGCTTCACAATGAATGCGTCTAAGGTTTACACTCAGGGTACATTACGGCATGTTTTCTATGTATGATGTTCTCAATATAATTCTTAATCCCACGTTTATACTGAACAACGCGTTATGGTTATTGTGTTATTGTGTTACAAACGGTGTACACACAGAAAGGAGAGGCGGGGTGAGCAAAGCTCATTATCATTTAAAGGCATATACACTGAAACGGCGTGCTGAAAACAGAGCTGTTTTTGACCAGGTAAAATAAGTGTTTTCTTACAATACTAATGAGAATTTTTAATTAAAGTATGTTATAAACTTTTAATTTAGACCCTAAAGAATCATACTAGCTTGTACAAAAATGGCATTATATGACCCCTTTGATAAACATGAAGTTGACGTTGCTGACTCGCGATCTTCGCAGTAGTGAATGCGCCAGAGAGAAATTCACATTTCATACAGATAAGCAGAGAGCAGTCCTATTTCTTTCGTTTTGAATTGTTCTGTTTACAAGTAGACATTTCAATATAGATATATTTTTCAGGTCTGTGAAGTAGGCTACCTTATACGCTGAGTTTCGGTTAATTTATGAGACGCGCTCCAGTTCACGCGCCGGCGCCTCCGTGTCGTGATTATCTTGTCTGCTATATTTTCTTCTTATTTATTAAATCCAGGCCATTGATTGATAAAACATTGATTAAAAATAAGATGCAATTAGTACAAATCGAAATTCACTTTAAAGAAAGGCTTTGTGTCTTCTGTTTGAGGTCTCTGTGAAAGTTTTAAAACAGTTTAAAACGCATTTATGTTTTTTTCTCATAAATGCCAACACGAAAAATAAAATAAAATGAATATTTTATGTTCTGTGGAGAGCCAACCCTTCTTCATCCGGTGGGTAGTATTACTTTTGATTTGCGCAGTGTAATTCACAGAATTGCAAAAAAACATATTTTGCCTCCTAAAAGTAAAATTTTTGTTTTGTCACGCATGAATGCGTGTGTAGCCTATTTCCCTCATATAAATATAAAACGCATGTGTAGACTGATATGTTTCTAATGTCTGGACTCCTTTAAGGGGGTATGGATAAACAGACGTTTCAATATATTGGTAGCTATTAAATGCATTTTCTGAGAATGTATAGGCCTATTTCAAGTTTTGACTGCAAATATCACGTCCATAACGCTGGAATTCCCCAATTTTAAATAACTAGTTTTGTTGTGTTGGTCTATGTATTTTATAATGTTAACTTCAAAATTCAAATAATAGCCTAGCCTATATAATTTAAAGATGTGGTAGCATTGGATCTGGATGGGAAGGATAACTCTTGGAGTTGGAAGGGGTGCGTCGCGATTCTTTAGGTTCGTGGATCTGAGTGTTCATATCGCATATCGTACAGCTACATATCTTTCCTCTCTCCGCCTCCATCTCTACCTGCAGACTGAGCTCGTGCGTCATCTTCGTGCCAGTTATTCAGCCAATAAAGTGTAGGCCTATGTATTTCATAGAAAATTGTGTCTAGTAGGCTAGCAACTATATAAATTACAAAGGTTTAATTGACATCTTTATTTCAAACGACCCGACCGACCGCGACCCGAATATCATTAAAAATATTTTTGGATGACTAGTAACCGCGGGTAACCGCCCGCTCATTTTGGATCAGACCGCGCATCACTGACAGGAACTAAACAGAGCTGGGAAGAGAGGTGCTGCAATAATGTAAAAAATGTGAAAAATGATGTGGTTTTTTTCTTAACATTAAAGGTTCTTGGTTAAACAACAAACACATGTAATATATTTCAAAATGAGCCAAAAAATATACTGCTAAAAATACAATTCCAATCTTTAAATTCATTTTGTGTAATTGCAAAACATATTATGGGGGATGGATTGTTATATTTTGTCACTTAAAAACAAAGTTCAAACAAAATATATTTTCAGTTTTAAAAATGTCACTGCTAACAACATATATTTAGCAAATATTTGTTTTTAGTCACTGTACCTGGGTCCAATTCTGAAATTTGGCACAGAAGAACAGAAAAAGCAGTGGATTACGCCCTTCACCACGGGGGAAAAAGTGGGCTGTTTCGCTCTGAGTGAACCAGGTAAACACGACTGCATTTCCGTGAGCTCTGAAAAACACAGGTGCAATGTCAGACACTATGGATCCATAGAGTTGACGTGTTTACATCAGTAACATCAGTGATTTCAACTTTGTGTGGTATAAAATGTTTTTGTTTGTTTTTTTGCTATAAAGGAAACGGCAGCGATGCAGGTGCAGCATCAACACTGGCACGGCAGGAGGGAGACGAGTGGATTCTGAACGGAACCAAAGCCTGGATAACCAACTGCTGGGACGCCTCCGCCACCGTCGTGTTTGCCACAACCGACAAGAGCCTAAAACACAAGGTGCTAGTTGCAATGATGAATGAACCAATTTGGAAAAGATTGATTATACAGTATAATTGTAATTAATGTTTTTTTAAATTTCAGAAAAATGTGAATAGCCATTTGATTTGATTTGGTATTCAAGGGGTGAATAGGGGAAATGTTCAAATAAGAAATATATTTATAATTATTTCAGCATAGTCATGTTTTTTTATTCTACATAAAAAAAAACAGGGAATTAGTGCCTTCCTAGTGCCGATGCCTCATCCGGGGTTGTCTTTAGGGAAGAAAGAAGACAAACTGGGAATTCGAGCTTCATCCACTGCCAATATCATTCTGGAAGACTGCCGCGTCCCACTCGGCAACATGCTGGGAGAGCGAGGAATGGGCTTTAAAATTGCAATGGTATGATTTTAACATGCTGTTGTCATGCCAGTATTTTTCTCCTATATGTAAAAATGATTCAAGCTCACTTAAAATGCTTCTAAAAGTTACTGTAAATAAAACCATTTAATTTTAGGCAAGTTATAAAACTAAAGCACTAGAGCTGCATGATTAATCGTTGAAAGAACTGCGATTTCATTCCTAAATGTGTATCATGTCATGTGTACTACAACTTCACAAACAGTCTTTTCAACCATACAGTTATTTCTGTGTTACAAATATTCATATCGTCACAGAAGAACTGGGATAAAAGTTTATAGTTCGGATATAAACACTGATGTCTACTGAAGCGATCAAAATAGAGCAAATCCCCTTTAGAAAGTAACATAGCGCTTCAAATAACAATTGTATTAATTACATTATTACGCCAGTAGGTGACGACAAGTGACTGTTAAAACATTTATTTGACATTGAATCATTCATTCAAGAGTATGTTCAAATAAAACAAGTGATGTATTTTAGAGTGAGGCATTGAATCATTCATTAAAAAAAAAAAAACATTAAAAAAAATTAATTCGGATAAATTATACATTTTAAAGAAACTGCTGTAATTAACATTTCACCAGAACCTCTAGTAAATTACAGATTATTTTGTTTAGTTATCTGTTCAGAATTGCGGGAAAATCGTAATCTCTGTTTTAAACAAAAAAACCCGTGATTCTCAGTTTATCCAGAATCGCACAGCTCTATAAAGCACTTTCACATTTGCATTCTCTTTGCTTTGTTTACTTGTGATCTAATGCAGATGCTTTACATCTAATGGCTTCTCTAACAGCAAACTCTGGACAGCGGGCGGCTTGGTATCGCGGCACAGGCTCTTGGGATCGCGCAGGCAGCGCTGGACTGTGCGGCTGATTACGCTCATAAAAGAACGGCTTTCGGCGCTCCGATTGGAAAACTGCAGGCAATACAGGTAAGGAAGGAAGGGGAAAAGTTGAGTGTTTTCATCTTTCACCTGGGATGATCTATCAATGTCTCTTTCAGTTTAAACTGGCCGACATGGCCTTGGCCACAGAAAGCGCTCGTCTTCTCACCTGGAGAGCTGCAATGCTGCGGGATGCAAAGAAACCTTTTACTAAGGTTAGTGTGTCTTCTCATAAAAAAAACTATTGTAAAATTCATGGTAAATGTGCTAACTGAGAGTTTATACTTGCATATACTACATAGACTGCATAAGAAACCCCCTAGTAGACAGTGTTAAAAATCTAGCTTATAAATATGTACTGTATGTGTGTTTCTTTGTTCTCCAGGAAGCTGCCATGGCTAAACTGGCTGCATCTGAAGCTGCTACCTTTGTCTCCCATCAGGTGATCATACAGAAATGTTGTTAATTGTATACAGGGCTTGACATTAACACCCGCCAAATGCGTGTGTATTTCAGCAGTGGCGTGTAACACAGTCACTCCTACTAGCCACTTTGGCGGGTTGAGTTTAAATATAATATACATTTTTCAAATGTAGTCTTTTAAAAAGGCATCTGAAATAATAAACTAAGTGCAATGTAGTGTTGCCAAAAATATCGATTGTTTGCTACATATATCAATACTGAAATATCTGAAACGCTTCCAATACTCATTCTCTGAAGAATAGATACACGATACCAGCAGCGCTTTCTCTCTCTCTCATCTCTCCGACAGACACACAAACCCGTCTCCCCTCACTCACTCGTTTCTTTTTGTTGGTGATACAGGGCTTGAATTTTGACGTGGGATTGTGCGTATTTTGTGCTCTCACCCAAAGTGCGGCACATAAAGCCGCCTCTCAAAACGAAATTGACTTCTTTTTCGCTGTTTATTCTGTTTAAAGTAAAAAAATGCTGGTCTTGGCGAGTTTTCATGTTAACACAGTCAGTTATGTTTTAAGTGAACATGAACAGTTGAGAAAGAAAACGTATGTGTAACAATATTATGGATCCGTGCATTAGATCTTAAAGTGACAGCAGCCTAATATTCCTGCTGCCAACTTATGAGGTAATATTAAAAATATCTATATGGCAGTCTTTCCCCTTGGTATCGATGTCAAAACTGTGGCCAGTGATAATGCTGAGTGTCTAGTAAGTTAAGAAAACCACTATCCACAGTGGCTGGTGAGCAAAAAAGTTTGTCAAGCCCTGATTGTATATATTTTTATTTCTAAAGCAAGAAACGTTCAAACATCATTGGTCCAGTAACATCAGTATTTTGTTTAAATGCGAAGGCCATCCAGGTGCTGGGCGGAATGGGTTACGTCACAGACATGCCTGCTGAGAGACACTACCGAGACGCCCGGATCACAGAAATCTATGAAGGCACCAGTGAGATCCAGAGATTAGTCATTGCAAACGGCGTTCTCAAAGAATATCAACAGTAGGAGAGCTGATGTCCACGCCAACTCGCTCTGCAAAACACTGCTGTTACGTTACAGTGCCTGGATTGGTTGATCTGGTCGCTCACAGATCTCAGAACTGTATTACTGTGATTGGCCAGTGCTGAATGAAGGAACGCTTGTGTTGATGTTGCTCTATCTGATTCTGAGTGACATAAGACTGTTTAAAGTGCATTTTCATGTTTGTGCCACAAGAGTGCAGTAGAGTGTCTGGATCTTTTGCATTGAATCATACTAGAGCTCCAGCCATAAGGACCTAAAGAACTGGGATTTCACTGGGGATTGAAATGCATATCTGATTGTACATAATGAATTGGATCTATTTGTTATGCATTTTAAAATAAATAATAATATTATATTACTACAAATTACCTGAAGTTTTTATTGTAACAGAAAATATTCCTCTGCAGCGAATTGCCTATTAGTTTTTACTCTTGGTTCTAGGTAAATTATTCATGACATGGGACACAATTTAAGGATTTTGAAACTGCTTACATGCACTGGCACATGTTCCAGATGTTTCTTTGGACAGAATATGTGGTCAATTTAATTACAATGCTGAAATTATCGACAATTTTCAGTGGGCTCCAAAAGTCTTGAGATCATTAGCGAAAATGCTTCTGTTTTGCCTTTTTTTTGTTTCAAAACTGAACTGAAATGTAAGTCCTAGTATTTGATCACATGATTAGTTATCAAGAAAATGAGCAGACTATGAAATATTTTGTATTCATTTTACATAATTACTTTCCTGTTTTATGTTTTCAGTATCCTAAAACAATGTATTTCCAGGTTTATGTGAAATTTCTTTTTTGCATATGGCTCTAAATTAAATGATTTATATCTTTAACCCCTTCAGGCCTGTTTTTATTAGCTACTTGATAATAATATTTGTTCTTCTCCAATGTAGAAATGACTCTAAAAAAAACAAGATTTGTGCCAGTTAATTTTCTATTAGATTTTTTCATGTCCACTACCATGGATGCCATGACTGAAGCAACGTAAAAATCATTACATTTTAACCGTAGTTATGAACATATGTATGTGAACTTGTGTTGAAGATTTAAAAATGAACACACAAACTGTAGCAATCAGCAATGCAATAAGAATGTCGCAAAAAACTTGTTTGAGATCCATTTGAAAAAACCCTGTTTAAATAATCAACACTCATTGCATCTGCTGTGTGCTCCCTTCTTCCTGAGCTCATGGGGAAATGAGCCCTTAACCAGATTTGGCTTCAGTCCCTCCTGCTGCTGGACTCTAATCTACCGGCACATCAGGGAAGAAGAGGCGCCATCATTTTTTGTGTGTAGTTTTTGCCAGTTAAGAGCATATGAGCTTTTCTCACAGGTCTCAGAACTGGGTCAAAGTTCCACAATTCCTGAGACCAGAAACGATGCTGATGATTTTAATGAGAATAAAGGTTATGGCTCTTGCTTTGGCTTTTGTTGTCATCGCTATAACAATGCCTGGGATGATACTTAACCTGGACTGGTTACAGTGGCCCAACAAAAAAGTATATACAGTATTAGACACTTAAGATAAACACATTAAAAATGTATTTAAAAAATTTTTTTTTAAAAGAAAGATAGCAAAAGCACATTATTCAAAGCAAAACATTCACAAAAGGAATAAATGTTATGATATTTTACGTATAGAGCCCCTAAAAGGACATGGTAAATTCTTGTAATAGTTTCTTGGGGGAACACAAACATTTAGGGAGCGAACGCAAAGTTTCTCGGAGCAAACGCAAACATTTTGGGCGCGAACGCAAAGTTTCTCGGAGCAAACGCAAACATTTTGGGCGCGAACGCAAAGTTTCTCGGAGCAAACGTAAACATTTAGGGAGCAAACGCAAACATTTTGGGCGCGAACGCAAAGTTTCTCGGAGCAAACGCAAACATTTTGGGCGCGAACGCAAAGTTTCTCGGAGCAAACGCAAACATTTAGGGAGTGAACACAAAGTTTCTCGGAGCAAACGCAAACATTTAGGGAGCGAACGCAAAGTTTCTCGGAGCAAACGCAAACATTTTGGGCGCGAACGCAAAGTTTCTCGGAGAAAACGTAAACATTTAGGGAGCAAACGCAAAGTTTCTCGGAGGAACGCAAACATTTTGGGCGGGAACGCAAAGTTTCTCGGAGGAATGCAAACATTTTGGGAGCGAACGCAAAGTTTCTCGGAGCAAACGCAAACATTTAGGGAGCGAACGCAAAGTTTCTCGGAGCAAACGTAAACATTTAGGGAGCAAACGCAAAGTTTCTCGGAGCAAACGCAAACATTTTGGGCGCGAACGCAAAGTTTCTCGGAGCAAACGCAAACATTTTGGGCGCGAACGCAAAGTTTCTCGGAGCAAACGTAAACATTTAGGGAGCAAACGCAAAGTTTCTCGGAGCAAACGCAAACATTTTGGGAGCAAACGCAAAGTTTCTCGGAGGAACGCAAACATTTTGGGAGCGAACGCAAAGTTTCTCGGAGCAAACGCAAACATTTTGGGAGCGAACGCAAAGTTTCTCGGAGCAAACGCAAACATTTTGGGAGCGAACGCAAAGTTTCTCGGAGCAAACGCAAACATTTAGGGAGCGAACGCAAAGTTTCTCGGAGGAACGCAAACATTTAGGGCGCGAACGCAAAGTTTCTCGGAGGAACCCAAACATTTAGGGAGCGAATGCAAAGTTTCTCGGAGCGAACAAACATTTAGGGAGCAAACGCAAAGTTTCTCGGGGGAACGCAAACATTTAGGCAAAAGCATTTAAATACATTTTTTCCTCCCATCTCATATTTTTTTCCATCACCATGTCCCATTAGGGGCTCTGTACCTTTTAGTATACTTATTAAATTTAACTGTATTTAAACACAAGCTGGGAATGTTTTTTTTTATTTATTTTTTTATCAGAAACAAAAAATCCCAAAACAAAATGACATTACTGTTTTTTTTATTATTAAACTGTACACTTCAGACACTTCAAGGATATGAAGCATGCATCATTCATGTACCAGCAAAATTATGCAACAGGGCACATTATTAACAAAACACTTTTTTATTTATTACTTTGTACAAAATTGTATGAAACCTTTTTTCAGTGAATCTGAGCATATTCACTCAGGAGGTTTAGATTATCAAAACCGTCTTGTTTAAAAGCTGCAGCCTGGAGTTTATAAGCAGAACAATAGGCATTATTCAGTGTCTTATTGAAGCACAGGCCATGTCTAATTACTGCAGTATCGTAAAGCAGAACAAAAACAAGAAATATAGACCCTCCTTTCAACACCCCAACCCCATCCCCCCCCAACCCCCCCCCCCCCCCTCCCCACGTGTATATCTAATTCATTATTACCATGACAAATTGTTAACAGAGCAAATGAGAGATAAACATACTCAAACATGTTAATACATTCTGTTATTCCATTATCTGAATGTTTGCATCTACTTTGGTACAAGACCTGTTGCATGTAAATGGATGTTGACAGTGTCCTCACTGTCCTGCAGTTTAAAAACTATTTTAATCAACATTTCTTTGTATCATGACATGCAGCTTTAATGATTATGGAATATTTGTAATTAAAAAAAATATTTCTCACACTGCATGTTCATTTAAAAGAATTGTTATTGGTGAACAAACCAAATACTAAACAGCTTTACAGCCTTGAAAGTCCAAATGCGCAGAGCCACTAGTCCATGGTTAATGGTTGAGGTGATCACACGTAGTTTCGTTTATCATAGTCCCCATTGACAGATGTGCTTTTTGTAGGTGGAGGAACATATTTGAGGGGATACGAGGATTTTTCATCTTGTGGACGTGAGAAACAGAGAATTGCTCCTCCGAAAAAAAGCATGGCAGATGCTGCCCATCCGATGTAGAGCGCAGCTCCGATTTCTCTCTTCTTTGAATAAGGAACTTGAGGGTTGTAGAATTCTGAGATGATGTTATTGGCCATCCAGCACAGAGGCACCAACACAAACAAGCCCGCGATGATGTATATCACCCCTCCGACGTTGACTACTTTGGCCTTGATGGACTCTTTACTGATGCAGTTGGTGCACTGAGCGCCGGCGATGGTTATCATGAGAGCCAGGACACCCAAGACAGCTGAGATGACCGTCAGAGCCCGAGCAGTCTGGAGGTCAGTGGTCAGCGCCAGGAAAGAGTCGTGCATTTTACACTGCATCTGACCAGTGCTCTGAACCACACAGGACATCCACAACCCGTCCCAGATGGTTTGCGCCACCACAATGTTGCCCTCGATGAAGGCGGACACTTTCCACATGGGCAACCCGCAAGCCACCATCACCAAAAGGGTCCCGATGACACTCAAGCCAAGTCCAATAATCTCCAGACATGCGGAAATCATCTTTGCAAAGTTGTTTCGATGCTCCTTCTCTAGAAAGTCTGGTAAAGTCTAGATTCCCCCGTGAATCTAAAACAGGTGTTTTGAGCAGAAGTATCTCTACATCGCTTGGCAGTGTTGCAGGATGAGATGCAGTGGGAGTTTTTCTGCTCTGGTATGCAGGGAGGATGCTGTTATAGTGCACTCACAACAAAGAGGAGCAGCTCCAGCCAATCAGAGCGCAGCGCGTCTCTCAACAGCCAATCAGAAGTGAGAGGAGCTGGACAAAACTGGATAACGCTCAACTTCATTACAATTCTGGGGTGCGTTTCCCGTAACTCGCTGCTTCACTACCATAGTAGCCTACGATGCATCGATGAAGAAATCAACTAGCTAAACACGACTGTTTCCCGTAAGTGGTTTTTCAACCACGCCGGTTAATGATGTCACGCACGTGGTGGAGTAACGTTACGGAATAACTTATTTTAATGAATCTGTTTTGAGATCGAAATAATGATAGATGTTTCTCTTTAAATTACGCACATGGCATCTGAGTACTATTTCTCATTTTTCTCAGTTATTACTAGAGCACGTACGCACTCTTCAAAAACGGTGCTTTAAATCTCTTTACAAACTAAAGGACGTATATTACATTTATTCTACATAAAAGATACAGATTGTACTGAATGTCAGCTTGCTTATTTTGCTCAAGATAAGGATTTATTGAGTCCACATGTCATGAAAACAAAAAAATGCTTCTGAGCTGTCGTTCCAACCACAAAACTTTGCGATGCTGCTTGCGAATGTTCCTGGGAACTATATGGTTTCGGGAAACACAGACTCGTTGAACTATGCTGAAAACGACAGAACTTGAGAGCATAGTCGGCATGCTTTTGGGAAACGCACCCCTATATAATTTTCAAAAAGTGACAGAAGCAGATGTGTGATTTCCTTGTTTGCTGGTATTCTTTAGGAAGGAAATGCCTCTTTACACAAGGGGGGCAAGTGCCTGGTACTACCGTATAGCCCACTGTGTGTGTGTGTGTGTGTGAGTGAGTGAGAGAGAGAGAGAGAGAGAGAGAGAGAGAGAGAGAGAGAGAGAGAGAGAGAGAGAGAGAGAGAGAGAGAGAGAGAGAGAGAGAGAGAGTGAGAGAGAGAGAGAGAGAGCGCACCTGCTTAAATGCACCCAATCTCGGTCGCTTCAGCACATTTTTGTTTCTCAATGTTGTTCATTGAAGTTCTGTTAATTTGATAACTCAATGATCGTTTGGCAAAGTAACTAATGCGGTCAACAAGTTTAAAACAACTTTATAGGCGTCCAGCTTTAAAAAAGCCATAAAAACACAGCACAACCAGCCAAAATAGCATAAACAGCCGAGTTACAGTAATTCAGAACACATTAGAAAGCAGCGAGAACTCCCTAGCAACCAATTGGACTAATTTAATCCATTTGCGCCTATTTATCTAGCCGTCTTTCTCATTCACTTAAATGCACACTCTTAAAATAATTTAAAACATGGCTTTAAGTCAAAGTTAAAGTGTTAGTTCACCCAAAAATGAAAATTATAGGCTAGTCATTGTTTATTCACCCTCATCATGACATTTTCCAAACCCGTAAGACTTTTGTTTAACGTCGTCGGAACACAAATAAAGATATTTTTGATGAAGTCTGAGGGTTTTCTGTCCCCCCATTGACAGTCTACGCAACTACCTTCAAGGTCCAGTAAGGTAAAGACATCATTAAAGTAATCCATGTGACTCCAGTGGTTTAATTACAATTTTACGAAGCGACGCGAGTGGTTTGTTTGCACAAAGAAACATAATTTAGGCCTTAACAGCTATTTACTGATTAAATAGGTATTAATAAGTTTTATGATTCAGATATTATCGTATAGTGTGTTCATTTGATATCTATGTACTGCCCCCAATATTATCTGCCTGCAGTCCCGGAGGCTGCATTTTCAGGACCCCACTTCTAGGACCGCATTTCTAGGACCCTAGTTTTTTTGTGACAGCGCCACCTACCGAGTCGGAGAACCGCAGTCCCAGGAACGCATTTCCAGGACCCTAGTTTGGAGGAACGAAAAAAGTGCCACCAAGGCAGTATCTCCACCCAGTTTTAACTACATTAGAGTTTTTTAAAAAGTTTTATTACACCCAAATACTACTTTCTTTATTGCAATTAAACCAGGTTCCTAGGAATGTTGAGAAATTGGGTCTAAGTAGCATACTATAATATAACTCAAGTAAAATAAACAAGGAATCATGTTATAGCCTTTTCAGTCACTCGATGGACCACATTTTCAAGTACAGAGGGAAGACAAGGATGACTCAGGGGGTAGATTTAAGATTGTGTATTTTACAAAATAATATATAACACTTGAACTTGAACACACAAAATCTTTTATAAAATAATATATAACAACTGAAATTGAACACACAAAATATTTTACAAAATAATATGTAACAACTGAACTTGAACACACACAAAAACAAATTTGATCATGACGTGAACCACTTCAATGGATGGACAAACACATGGACAACATCATCACTGACTCCTAAGAGAGAGAAAGAGAAGTGAATTAAATAAGGAACATTTAGTTGAACATGTTCTACTCTCTAATTTTAAATTTCATATTTAAAAGATCTTAGTTACCACAGAGTAATGATAATGATAAAAATAATGATATCAATCTTCATACCAATTACTGTTCATAATACAATTATTGCATACTGTTCAAAGATTTGGGAAAAAAAATGATTTTGATGTTGTGGGAACAAAGGTTCTAGAAACACTCATGTCAATAAAGCCCATCTGAACTGAGAAAAAAATAATAGAGAGAGATGCAAGAAATCTGAATAGAAATAACATTATTGACACGACTTTTCCTGACCATATATAAGTAGGCCTATACAGTAAATGACACAATCTAACACGTGGGATTTTAACAGTCAATTATTATAATGGCCTCTCTGATATGTCTGACTATTAAAATGTCATATGTCTCAACCAACTTTATAAAACCATGTCAAAATGAAGAGACGTACACATAACATGTATTGTGGGTAACGTTAACAGGCTTACTGTGAGCACGTGACAGTGAAAACATTACGATTATTTTAACTGAATTAAAATGGAAAAACAATGAGTAATTAACAAGCTTTCAGAACGAACATGGTACAGTTTATTGTGCTGTAAGTAAGTCAACACAGGCTAAGCCTATCATGCAACAGCTCCGTTAAATGAACCGTAGTATTTCATTTTCCAGCATTAGAGGCTAATATATGATGGCTATGCATTCAAGACTGTTTAGCAAATCACCAGCACGTTGGCAACGTTAACTTTCCAATGAAATGCATCACAATTGTTTTTAAAGTTAAACAAATAAAAATTGATTCACATTTGATACTCACACTCTGAATGTCATCCATTTTCGCTGGTCCTCTAATTCGGTAGGTGGCGTTGTCACTAAAAACCTAGGGTCCTAGAAATGCGGTCCTAGAAGTGGGGTCCTGAAAATGCAGCCTCCGGGACTGCAGGCAGATGCTACTCACTGCCCCTTTAAGAGTTACGCTAAAAACTATAAAGTTTGATTGGGATGTAGATGCTAAAACGTGTCTTTGCCTAGCAAGTTTGTTCAGTTATTGGTGATTGGTTAATTTTGGACTTATCCCCGCCTCTGTCTGATTGGAGAGAGGAGGGAGAGGAGAGTTTTTGCTGATCGAGAGACAGAGTTCGGGGAGTTGTGAGTTCTCTTACGAGAGGTTCTCTCGTATTGCGTAAGCTAGCTTACGCAACTGGAAAGATTAATCTTTTCTGAGAAATTGAAGCCAAAAAATTATCCTATAATTTTGTATCCATTGTCAACGCAGTTCAGCTGCAGCAGACCATGAGCGGCTAGCTAGCAGCTCATTGGTTCGCTCACAGAGAACTGCTTAAAGGGTCACTTCACCCATTTGCATTAAGGTTTGTATTGTTAGAAACCCAGTCATATATTATAATGATGGTGAAATTTTGCTTGTTTTTTTTCTGAGATGGGAGAAAAAAGGATTTAAGTGTTTTACTTCCGTCCTATCGTGACGTAAATATCGTCATTTTGCGTCACGATAGGACGGAAGATAAATTTCATTGCATATTAAGAAAACTACAGCCTTTAGCTCATTATTATTCAAGGGCGTGGGACCCACTCACCCCACCGGCCTATTACAGATCAGTGGGTGGGACTAAACCTGAAGAAACTAAACTATTAATCCGCCATCTTGCTTGGAAGACAGCAAGCTAAGCTAACAAGCGCTCAAGGAGTTAGATTTACCATAATGCCTGAATTTACGACACACGATATGGAAGACGAGGATTTTGAAAATCTTTTGCTCGAAACTGATGTTCGTGGCTATTTATACGAGCCACAATATAGCGAAGAGCAGCTGAGGCTGATGGAGGAACAAGAGGCGGCGGCGTCGGCTGCGTCGGGTTCGTTGTTGTGGGAAGAATGAGACGGGAATCGGCGAACATTTAAACATTTTAATAGTAAAATAAACAAATACAAAACAAAAGTATAAGCCAGCAGCCCCGCACTGCTGGCCACACACAACAGAAACAAAACACACCATAAAATCAGGCCTGTTCCTCTCTCGATCTGCCCTGTCGCTCCTCGTTTTATGCGTCCGCTCCTCGGTGAGAGACGCGAGAGAGACCAGTGCGTCTCACAGGTGTCGTTCATTATCACTCACGCCACCTGGCTTGCGGAGCTGTGCAACGTGGTGCATTCTGGGAGTTGTGGTCTTACACACAAATGCGCCCTAAAGTTATTTTCTGTCTTTTCTCGGTCAAGAGGGCACCAAATTCAAAATTTCTTTTACATTTCGACTACATATATGACCCACTTTCAATAAAGATTAATGTTGAAATGGGTGAAGTGCTCCTTTAAGCCTATGAGGAGATGCGAATGAACTCTCGGCCAATGAGAGTCTGACATGCTCTCATTGCGTCAGAGCCCGCCGAAACGGGCGTGGTTAGAGAGTATAAATTCGCCTCTCAGGCTGTAAACTCTGATTTTCATCTCTTCAGCGAGGCTACACGCATCTGCTGATCCTGAGAGAAGCCGCCGTCGGCAAAAAGGCAACTCTAGCGAGCATCTGGGAGACTGAGGAAGCCGGCCGTCTTCGCCACC